CAGGATCTGGTCCCACAAACAGGATCATTGCTTGCAAAACATCTACTGGTGTACAGTGACACAGCTCCATTGTGGAGTTACATTGGTTTATACCATCTGAGGGCCAGTTAAGGGTGTTTTGCCTAAATATATGATTTACAGCAGCCATAACATTCTTCAACAGAGGCTCAGCAAATGGCCCCAACAGCCAACAGGAAATGCTCCAATAAAATCTTTGCTTCTTTATTAAAATCATTCAGGCCTGAAAATAAGGTTTAATTTAATGGAGAGCTGCCATGATATTTTTCTTTCTCCCCTGTGATGTGATCAGGCTTCACTTGTGGCAACAACTTCAGTTGTTCCTATTGCACATAAGAGGCCAAACCTTCATGCCATGATTTGTCCATCTACAGGTGAAAATCTCCCTGGAGCTGGTGGGCAGTCTGAGGTTTGATGACTGCATGAGGGTGCTACTGGGGCTGCAGGTCACAACTGTGTCTCAGAAGGCAGCTGCTATAACTGCTTCTCATTTAAGGCCCTATGAGTTTGTTTTCCTGGCCAAGGGGCACTTACCTCTTCTCTTAGTCTCCAGGATGAGAACCAGTCAATGCAGTAAAACCCCGCTGCAGAAGACACACACAAGAGAAATACTTTACTAACATGTCTAGCCATCACCTTGGCCCAAATAAGAACATTATCCACAAAGTTGGGAAGCCTAGGGTGCACACTGCTGCCCAACAACCACATCCACAGCTTATCTGACTTTGACCAGGGTCCACTGATCCACACATTCATGAACTTCAGGGATGACTGGAACTCATGAAATCTAGGAATGATGCCCCATACTTTGACAGCTCTGGTTGCCACAGAATGCAGCAGCCAGTATGTTAGTCAACACCTGTTGCTGGGAGCATACCATCTGCATTCCCCACTCCCTGCATTGGCTTTCTTAAAATACAGAGTTCAGTTCAAGGTCTCTTTCCTGATATGCAAAGCTGACTACAGGACCGGCCTTAATTATGTCTGATTGTGTCCATTTTCATGCATAAACCTCCCACAACATTCCTCCCAAGTAATGCAACTGCTGAACAGCTCAATGGGAAGTCCCTGATTGCAGGAGGCAGAACTAGCATAGGAGCTGGCTGTTGGCTGTTGAACTCTCTCCTACAGGCAATAAGAAAGTCCCCAGACCTCATAGCATTCAGCACCAAACTTAGCTCTCTGTAAAGGAGTTCTTCTCACCCACATACACCTATGCAGACAAAAAGCATGATATGCCACTCTCACAAAAACACCCAATTGACCCTCCCAAACCTGTAAAGTAATCAAGCTGTTTATTGCAACAAGCTGGTAGGGCAAAGAGAAAGAGTGATGGTCATAATTATTTGTGCATGAAAATGTTTGGGAGATACTTGGATACTAAGGTGCTGCTCTAAGCAATTTGTCAAAAAGGAATAAACAAAATAGTAAAGTGGCTTCTAGCCCTAAGGGTCCTTAACTTGAATACAATTCAGTGTGCCAGAGTTCAGCCCTTTGCATGTCCCCTAAACTGACAGGCTCATAGCAATGTAGGGCTGGATAAGGGATCATGTAGTCCATCCTCTTGCACTGGGGCAGAATCAAGTATGCCCAGACCTTACCCAAGATGCTTTTCTATGAATACACACCTGAAATGATTGGGATCAGCAATAACAGTATCTTGAAAATCATCTTGACATTCTGCAGGGTGATTAGTTCTCTAATTAAGAAAAAACACAGGTAGAGCAGGGTAGCAATTTTGGGCAATTCATTTATTTGGTGAAAAACGTGGGTTTGCATCCACCAAAACTATTAATGAATTCCTTCAGCAGAAAAAACAAAAATCTGAAGAGGGCCTTTTGTTTCAACATTGTTTTAAACAAAACTCTTCAATGTTTTATTTTGACATTTGCCTAAGTTTAATTTTTTTTAAAGAGGTTTAAAAAAAAAACCTGAGAAAACTAAATGAAACATTTCAGTTAACTGAGCATTTTTCTTTGTTTCCCATTTCACTGAGGAGAAAAACAAATTTTTACTTTAGGGCAGCACAAATTGAATTTCTTTTCCCAGTTCAAACAGCGAGCTGAAAAAAATCAGTGACTCACATAGATCTAATCAGAGTACTCATATGCCTCCATGCAATTTTGTTCTAACAAGATGTTTACTTAGCTTGGGAAATATCCTTTCCCCCTCATCACTGAAGGCTTATATTTATACTATCCAATATGCACTGGTACTGGATTAGGTTTTGCCCCAGATTAGGGGGAATGAGTTTCAGGGAACATACAGAGGGGTCCCCATGTGCTGTGTTCCATGGAAGGTGCTGGGTGCCCTCACTCACAGCGCAGGGAATTTATTAGGAATAGGATGAACAGGAGAATGACAAAAGAGGGGAAAGTGGTTGCTGGATCTGTGATGAAGTGAAGCCACTGATCAAACTGCATAGAAGCACCACTTCCCATTGTCCAGAGGCTGTGACTAACCATGGATGCTATACCCCTGGCCTGATAGCCCTCTTGCATGTAGAGCTCATTTACTCAGGAGGTGGGCAGGAGCTGGGATTTAAGCCAGTGGCAGGTTCTGGGTAGCAAGACTGCAGAAGACTTTGTAACTGCTGGCTTTCATAAGTAGCAATGTAAGAACTGCACAGATTCTATCACAGCACCAATATGAGCATGTGCCAAATGTGAACCCGGGGCTACTGATCTCTAACCCAGCTCAACCACTGATTAAGGTGCTGTTCCCAGTCATTCTTGCCCTGTTTCCAGTTTTGACTCACAAAGATCCAGTTTCATCCCCAATATACTCTTGCGAAGAATTTTATCTGCTCACTTACATTGAGGAGATGCAAGCCTTTACCAAATATCTTGGGAGGGAGACGAAGGCCATTAGCAGGAGGCATGGGATGTTCAATATCATTCCTGTGAAAGCAAGCACAGCTCTTAGAGCCTTCCAAATCTGTGGGAGTCATTCCATTGACTTATGGAGGCTCTGGATCAGACTCTTGATGCAGAGACCTCCCTACAGACACGACTTCCTAATTCCATAAATGGAACATCACAGAGATGCATACCTAGGACTTCGCTACACTATTATTTTGGCTGCAACAAAGGTTCCAGTCTCAGGGTCACATAGGCATATATGGTGGGTAGGTGGGTTTTACAACTTTTTATATTAAAAAGTGAACTGTTGTTATTATTGCTATTGTTATTATTATTACTATCATAAGTATTAAAATAATGCCAAATATGTGCCACACTCTTTACAGAAAATGTGAAGATACAATACCTGCCCAAAAGAGAATGCGAATGTTAACCTTCCCAATGTAACATGCAAAATGGGTGTACAGAATTTACCAGATTGTATATTATTTCAAGGACTTATAGGGAGAATATGTTATAGAGTAGAGGGAATATGAATCCTCCCCCCCATACGCAACAAACACTATAGTTGCCATTGCCATTTGTTTAACAAATCATATATTAGTTTTGTTCATACAGCAGTTAAAAGATGTAAAAGTACACATAACCCAAAGATGCTGACCTGGATCAAGACTATAAACATCACAAACAGGTGCTCAGATCCAGAGCTTTGGTTAAGGCTCATCTCTGATACTAAGTATTTGCTTTTATTTATGAAGAGTCTGTACAGTCTTGGAATCAGTACCACCTGGGCCAGCATGCTCATTTCTGATCCCTGATGACAGAGAAGCTCATGGTTTCCTGCTTTCATTGAAGGCTCGTGCTTAGTTCCTCTGCGGATGTAAATCAGCTGAGTTGGGCTGACTTAAATGTAGGTATGCCAGTTTTATGCTAGCTAACAAACTGGCCTTGTGCACATGGGACTCATGTTTCTCTCTCTGGTACTACTCTCTCAAGCACTGAAGTCCAAATTTTCAATTATCAGTGCCTAAAGTAAGGCATCTAGATTCACATTTGAGATCCTAAATATAGGTCTGTTTTTTCAGAAGGGTTGTGCACTGGCAGTTCTGATCAAGCTACAAAGTAAAGCTTTTTAGATACCAGACTTCAGCAACTCTGGTTATATAATATTTGCTTTTATTTTATTTTCATATTGTTTCCCTTCCACTTTGTTCATTCTTATTTTTAAACTGCTTGGAATTCATCTGAGCTAACTTCATTATTATTGTTTATTCACATGCTTATGACAAGCCATTTGAATGGTCTCTGTGCTTTCCTTGTCATCTACAATGTGCACAATGTGTGGTAATATTCAGGCTCATAAAGGCCTTCTTTTTTGTTTTCAATAAAATGTATTAAAAAGGTAGAGTAACCTGTCCTGCATTTAACTGTGAACAGAAAACACCAGTTCCAGATGTGTAAAAAACCCACCTTTTACATCAAAAGAACACTGCCAGGTTAAAAAGCAATTCTATTGAACCTACACACTATGAATAATGTAACTGAAGCTATTATTCTTGTATGCCAGTAGATAGTGATCTTTAGGGATATTAAATACAGACATGAAAACATTCCTTTTTATATGCAACTCCCATTACACTTCTTGGTACATGTGTGATGTGTTTGCTTTCATACATTTCCTTCAGCCTGAATAATGAGAACAAGCTAGATGGCTTCACTTTTGTTTCTAGTCAGTCTGTGTCAAATGGCTGATGTGCACCTGTACATGGTGGCTGATTAATACTTCTGGGAAAAAGTTTGTAAAACACCCAAATAAAAATATGATTTTATGGGTGTTTTACAAGAGCTGTGGAGTCATTTCTATTTATTTCAGATTTGCGGGGGGAGAAATTGTGTAACAAGCAGTCTGTGCTACTCCGATGGAGCCACCATGTTGGCAGCTTCAGCAGCCTTCAGGGAAAAGCTGACTGAGTCTCACCTACTCACTGTGGCTACTGTGTACAACCACCCTGGAGGGAAGGGAGGTGGGAATACTCTCAAGAGAATGAACAGAACTCTAAGGGAGCCAATGGAAGGAACTATAGGTACAGCCATGCTTCAGGAGAAGGGTAGGACTGGAGATGCTATTGTTCATGTAGGTTACTTTGTCCACCGAGCCAATTCTCTGGAAGGAAGTGAGTCCTAACCCTATCCAGGAAACAGTCTTTTTCTGGGACTGTTTTGACCTTAATTCAACATACCTCTTCTGACAACTAAATGGATATGAAAAAGTCCCAACGCTAATAGCTGGCTATCCAGACATAACCATAGGATAATGTTGCTATTCACATTGCTGTAATTCGTCATTGTCATTGGTGTACCTTGTATTAGGCCTCAGAGACTGTGGTAGAGTTGAGCCTCAGTTATGCTCACTACACTGTATGAATATATAACCAATAGGCAGTTCTTGCTCTGGATTACTTATAAGCTCATTTAAGATAATGTACAACTAGGTTTAGCAAATGATGGAAGGAATGTGAACAAGAAGAGGTACTGTATCCAGACTATAGATCCAATTCAAAGCCCACAGAAACCAATAGGAAGAGACTCCCATTGCCTTCACCCGGCTGTGGATGAGGACCTTCATCCTAGATATATTTAAATTGGTTTTTGAAAATATATAAGCAGATAGGTGAAATTTTAAGAAGTACATCAGTATTTCTTGCCAGTGAAATTATACAATGCTGCCAGCTGCATCAATGCGATCATGTGCAGTGCTTCAACTCC